CTACTGAGAGAATTCAGGTGGCAGAGCCTATTAATATTAAAGCAAAGCCAAATGATACCACTCCACAGAGAGCCACATAAATGTATGGCTTACCCATCTCCTGCCCTTCTCCTTCCATAACTGTGTCATTTCTGTTTTAAGACAGATGTTGGCAATTCTGGATCTAAAACATGCTTAATGCAGCATTTCATGTCCTGCTGCTATTACACTGGAAAAAAGTGAAGTTGTAGAAAAGCACATAAACAGTCTGACCCTTCCTTCACTCCTCCAGTGATGGAGGAGCTCATTTTTTTCAAGGTCAGAAATGGGGTTTATATCGAGATGTTTGGTCACAGCACACTCTATTCATTCCTGTCACCTTGCTTTAATGAGAGCTTTCACTGTCTTTTTTGTAGTTTTTTTTTTTAAGCCTAGCCTTCAGCTTGCAGCAGCATCAAGTTCTGCTTGTCATTCTGTTCACAAATGTCGAGTGAACAGAAGGACCTTTGGGCTAACATCTACTTAACTAGGTGTTCTGCTTTGTTGATCCTGCAAACCATCCCCAGAGCATTCAGCCACCCCCACCAAAGGGAAAAATCAAAGAATTGCCAGCTTTTTTCTCAAAATAACCCTGCATGGCATAGGCAATTGCCCTTCATTTCAGATATAAATTCTCTGCAATGGGTTCTGCATTCAACATGCTGCTGTTTTTAATTAGAATATCTGACATGGAAAGAATTAGAAATGGCATTTGCTTCTGCATAGCAAAGTCCTGTTGAAATGGCTGGAACACCAAGACAAACACAATCAACACAGAACTCCTGCTAAAAGCTCGAACAGGAGATTTTTGTGTGTTGCTTATCAACTTGTTCAGCTCAGCTGGACTACATGAAATTCAGGAAGAAATATAACAGCCTCTAGTATTAGCAGGGACAGATAGGCAGAAGAAAAGAAGTGTATTCTCTCTGTTTGGGAAAGCTTGTCCTTAAGTGCCTTTATCTGTAACACGAGTGCAAGGCAGGGGGACAGGTTACAGAAGGAAAGCTCAAAATGAACAAAACAGTCCAAATGTGTCTAAGCTTACAACAGTGGTAATGTGCCATGTTTGCAGGGGTTACCCAGCTTGGCTGTCAGCCTTCAGACGTTGCATGTGCCTCCTAAATAACAGCACAGGCTGAGGTGTCAGAGCACCGAGAGGCTGAACCCTGGCCATAGTGGAAGTGGGCTTTTCCCAGGAATTCAGAGCTGGAAGGACAGTGGTGCTTTCTGAGTTTGGATCCAGCCAGATCTGAAAAGTGTGCAGCCCCAGTATGCATCATCCCATTGGTGGGGCAGTGTCCTTCAGCTGTCTGGCACACTTGGCCACTGAAAAACTGCAGGGAAAAGAGGCTCAAACATCCTCAAGAATACCAAGGCCAAAAAGTCACATTGTCTTCACTGGCCATAATGACAGGTAGAAACGCACTTCTTAAAGTCTTATTTGGAAAACCTCACAAGGTATAGGGAGCTCAGTTTATCTGCCTCAGGAAGATGAAGGGCTGGGCCAACCCAGCTGGGATTAAAGCACTCACCCTGTTTTGTGTGATACAAACCATTTTTCATCATGGTGAAATACAAAGCTAATATCCAGAGCAAACTGGATAACAGCATGCTGTGAGAGCAGATAAATCCAGATGTTTGATTTTGGTCTGTTGCTGTCCTCTGATTTCTCTCCTAAGGGCACAGTGGAGCACTTTGGTTTCACTGGAGATGGAAGGCAGTTCGTCACGGCAGTTGTTCCCAACACTCCAGCTGAGCAGAGTCTGGGTTTTTTTTGCTGTTCTTGAGTTTGGTTGCTTTTTCAAATGTAATGCCTGTTAGAGGGAAGTGTTCCAGTGATGAGCAGGGGCTCAGCATGGTTTGATTTGCACTATTCATCAAGGGGAAGCACAGCTGAACCTATCTTCTATACAACAACAACAAAAAAATATGTCAGAGCTCAGATAAAATGTCCGAATTGCAGTTGATTGCTGAGAATACAATTTTCTGAGAGAGAAAGTGATTTTCTTCCCCTGAACATACTTCGTATCCTCTGCTTTCAAAGGCCAGCAGACAAAATAAATTGCTTTGTGCTGATGATGTCTATGTTATATATTTGTTCATTCCGGGTTTAGATCCTGATGTTGATTCAAGTAGATAACGCTGGTGTTTCAAATTATGAAACACGAACAGAAGAGTATTAAAGCACTCATTGTGTGACCAGGGGTCAAGATAAACTAACTTCAAAAAATGACATCTGAAAATTTGTGGCTTTGACATTGGTGGTGTAAGTTTAGCCCTCTGTTAGTAGAACATATGATTCATCAGATAAATGTTAATCCCCCTAACTTCAGATTTATGATGATAATAAACCCCTTTAAATTTGTCACAGTTGCCAGTGCCTACAAACTGTGACTCTTGTCTCATGAGATATTTACTGCATATGCTAAATCAGATGGAGAAATTACAAAAAAATGCATTGTGCAGCTATATAATTAATGATTTTTATAAAATGACTTTGCAGAAGAGGAAGTAACTAAAGCTGCAACTGTAAAAGTGCTTCTATTGAACTTTCAAGTGTACAGTTTCTGCTTTCCTTTGCAAGCCTTTGTCCGAGTTTTCTAATTGGCATCATGGTTATTGTTTTCCTAAGAATCCTAAGGCCTCCTCTCTGTATTTTTCTTCTGTTTAGACACTCATTTACATTAAAACACCTATTTAGTTTGAATATAATGGTATTCTTTCTCTACATCTAAAAGGCCGTTTCTAACTGAAATCATTACTCCATATAATTTTAAAATTGGTATCAATGAGATATTTACAGATGCTTAATTCCTTATTTTTTAAGCTTGAAATGCCCAAGACCTTTTCTGCTTAAGTACTTAGTAACAAATGTAGTATTGAAATTAAAACTGTGTAAAATTTTTGTTTAACTTATTTGTTGTTGCTCTTTGAAGGATTCTTAATAGGAAAATAAGCATAATCTTGAACCCATGTAAGTCTTGGAAGTCAGAACTTCCATACTGGATCAATAGGCATTTGTAAACTTGAAATTTCATTGATTAATTAATCTGATTTTGAATAACCCCTTTCTAGCGAAAGGGGCATATTCTTCTAGGATATGTAGCTGATTAGACTTCTCATTTTGCTACATTTAATTCAGAATCCAGAGCTCTGTCATACTTCACATGTTTTTACTGGTATACTTCACATTCTGCTATAAAAATTAGCACTATTAATCAAGATAAAAAGCTATTTTTGACAGTGACTTGATTTGTGAAGTAATATAAAATCACTCAAATTGTATGCAAGAAGTTGTCACCTGCTCTGTCAAAGTCCTACTTATTAAGCTCTTGATGACAGTAACTTTTAATGCTTGCTCTCATTCTAAAAATGTTATTAAGTTCAGATTAAATCATGACTATTTTGCCTGCATTCTGATAACCCTGCTGGGGTTTTTTGTTGCTAATAAACTGGATAATGAAACAGGATTGGTAAATCATGTTAAACCTAGCTAAACCTCCAAAATGGATTTCATCCCCTAACTTTAAATATTTTCATCAAGTTTTGGTTTGGGACAAGTTCTTTTAACTATATTCTTTTGCCAGGCTTATTTGGGCTGATGTGGAAATTTTGACAACCATCTAATCCATCGTGTGTCCTGCTGACACACATTCTGCAGGAATGTGCAGGATCTCCTCAAAACAGCACATGTGGAAGTTACTTGTGAAATAGTAATGTATTATTAGAAGCTATTACTTATAATATCTATACATATATTATATATATAATCTATATATGTATAGAGATGTGTATATATAGATATATTGGGTGAAAGGAAGATAAATGAGTAAAAATGTAAGGGTTACAACTCACTTTTACTTTGGCTCTGAAATACAGAGTCTGTCACATCCCCTCGTTTTGGAATTAAGCAAATGAGGTTTCACATGGAATTTTAGTTTCTTTGCATTTGCTTCAATGAGACAGGTTTTTTCAAGGAAAACTCAAAGCTTGTAATTCTGGAATTAAAGCTTCCAGTGTTTCAGTGGGATGTGGACCTAAGTTTGAACTGGATGGATTTACAGTTTTGGCTCTAATGACAGCTTGTTCTTGTGCACAATCTTCAGGAAAGCTATTGTTATTCAGTGATAAACATATATTCCTGACATGTCGGGAGTTCAGTTTCTGCTTGTATATTTACAGCTCATTAGCACAGGAGCAGCTAGTTTCAGTTAGTTTTGGTGTCCTTTTAATTTCCCTTTAGTGTCAAACACGTTATGTTCAGCACCTGAAGATCTGCTTGTTGAATACTTCTGTTTCTAACCAGTTTTGAGAGATGTTCTCACTGCAGAGAAATCTTCACTCTCGACTGTCAATTATGGGATAATATGAGTGAGGAGTGCAAAAAGAATGACTATGGAGAATGCATTTTATCAAGGTTTATTATTTTCCCTGAAAATGAGAAGAAATACATTTAAAACTCCTACATGAAAAAGCATATTGACTAGGTGAAATGTTTTATCAGGTAGCTAACCTTCTACAGATTTTGATTACTTGTGGTTTTAAATTATGAAATTTAGCAAAAAGACCCCATGAATTTGATCATCAAGGTCAAGTGATGAGATCTTGGCCCTATTACTCACTTGTTGAAATGATTTACTGAAAATGATACTGAGCTGTGCAGTTGACACCAGGTAAGGATCAGATGGGTTTTTTCTGCCCTTTTGTACCTCGGAGTATTAAATCTAAATTGCTTTCAGTTGCCAGAGTGTGTTGGAAGGTTTCTGTAAACAGTCCTGTTCCTCTTAAAGCAAATTTTATAGCCTTTTAGAATTCTGTAAGGGAGTGTTGTGCCTTGAGGAATCTCTTTTGTCTTACCTGTGTCTTTGTTGGTGACTTGAAGGTATTATCCATATAGAAAATAAAGCCAATGTGGTCAAATAGCCAATATTTCAGCAACCCTCACTAATAAACATTTTGGTTTTTTCTTGTCTCCCCCTCAGAACAAAAGCCTCAAAACCAAGCTCTTGTCAGGAAACAAGCTTTGTGGCATTCATGCAGAGGAGGTAAGGAAGGTTCCTCTCTATTCTAAATCTAACATAACCCAAAGAAGTTTGCATCAAAGCCTTTTTTACTGAGGTTCAGGTATATTATATATATATATATCTATATACCAGAATCTAGAATATATATTATATATATGTGAGCATTCCTAAAGTGCTCTCATTCCAGCTCATTTCTGTGACTTCACTAGAAGCAGCTCAAATGTTTTGGAAAGTGAGCTGCAAACTCAAGTCTCAGACAAGTGAAATCATTTGGGCACGCTTATGATATAGCTCTGCAAATTTATTGTGCATCTATAATATGTATAAAACCAATTTACTTTCCTTGATCTCCATGCCTAGACTAAGATGGGAATTGCCAAATGCCTGTTCTGAAATTAAGTTAGAGACAGGCAAAATTTATTGTTATTGATTCCTAGAATGTTTCATTACTCCAAGGATAAAAGGGTCACTTTATGAAATTGTGGGAACGAAATCTCCCCTCTACTGAAGAGTGAGATGGAAAAGATAGTCAGTGATAAAAAACCCTATTTGTTGGCAAATAGATCAGTGTAGAAGTACCTGCATTCATTCAAGCAACCCCTTTAATTATTTAACTTTTTGTGAAAAAAAAAAGATATGACAACATGTGAATCCGTTTTACTCATTTACGTTACTTTAGTCTGGGTTTTTTGCATATATAATTTCTGTGAGAGTCATTACACCTTGCCTGAATGAAGCAGAGGCAGAACATCTTTACTAAAATTTCCATAATTATGGTTGAACGTGTTTTCTTCATCGGAGTCTCCACCTTTTAACTTAGAGGTCAATACTTAGGAGGCCAAGTTTCTGAGAAATACCCAGTGGTAGGAAATAATAGGATTTATGGAGAACCCCTGCTGGAGCAACCTGTTCCTGAAGGACTGCATCCCATGGGAAGGCATCATTCTGGGGCAGTTAATAAAGTTAATAAAGCCCATTGGGAAGGACTCACACTGGAGAAGTTTGAGAAGACTCTTTCCCACGGAAACCTGTTCCCCCTTGCTGGAGCAGGGGAACTGCTCTCCCTGGGGGGAAACAGCAACAGAAACATGGGATTAGCTGACAGTAGTCCCAATTCCTTGTCTCCCCGTGCTGCTAAAGAGGGAAGTGGAACCTGAGAGGAAGAAGGAGTGGGGGGAAGGTGTTTTTAAGACTTGTTTTGCTTCTCATTGTCCTACTCTGATTTTGGTTGGTAATAATTTCAATTAATTTCCCCCAGTCAAGTCTGTTTTGCTCGTGACAGTAATCGGTGACTGACCTCTCTTTGTCCTTATCTCAACTCATGAACCTTTTGTTCTATTTTCTGTCCCTTGTCCAGCTGAGGAGGGAAGTGATGGTGGCTTTGGTGGGCACCTACCACCCAGCCAGGGTCAAACCACCACACCTAGCTGCATAATATTTTGAATCTTTGGTAATTAACTTGATGGTCTTTTCCCTGATTATGTCCCTTTTAATATTTGCAACATAAATGTCTGGAAGATGAAGCCTAAGAATAATTTAACTGCACTGTAGGGTGACAAGCCCTGGCTCTCAGAAAATTTCAGGAAACTAAACCTACATTAAGTAGCAGATTGTGAGTGTATTTTAAAGTGTGAGAATCTCTGGATTAATGAATCATCCTGGCAAATTTGTGGCTATTAAGCATATTAGTACCATTATAACAGGTAAAGATGCTGCAGGAGCATCCTTTTTTTTTTTTGTGGTCATTTTGCCAGTTAAGTTGTACCAACCAGAGAAACAAGATTTAAAATAAATATCATCTTGAGCTGATATAAATAAGCATAACTCTGCCTGTTTTCAAGGGCATGGTTACAAGCTGAGAACCTTTGGATACCTGCTGGAATGCCCTATTTTTTTTTACAAATAATAACCTGTGCAATCCTCTGGAGCCTTTATACCCCTAAAAATAGGATTGCTCACTTCAGGTACCCTTCATGGAAAGTATTAGTAACAACTCAAATATAAAATGTGTGAGCCCAAGAGCTGTTCATATCCCTCACTTATGTGCTTTAGGTAAGTGGCAGTTTATATTTTCCTTGATACTTTTGGCTGGTTTTGACATGTCAACCAGGAAAAACAACTGTCAGTGATTTAGGGGGTGGGAGGGTTTCTACATTTTAGAGCTGATCTAGATTCTGCTGTTGTCAGAACTCACTCACTACCTTTTTTTTCTCTGATCTTAAAAGTAAATATTTAAAATAAAAACAGCACCAAACCTGATTTTATTATCATCCTCACTTTCAGTCAAAAAAGATCCAAGCCCAGCTGAAAGAGCTTCGTTATGGGAAAAAGGATTTGATTTTTAAGGTAAGTTTTATTTCACTATAGTTAGCTAAAACATTAGTGTTAATATCATATTGTGGTAATCTAGGAATATGAAAGCTGGCTTTATTACTGCAGTTCTAAGGAATAATTTCATTCTGAAAACAGCTTAAAGCACCGAGACAGACTTAATACCATAATGCATTTTCAGAAATATTGTCTTTTTCTTTTTTTCCATGCAAAACAATGAAACAGGGATGGTGTTTTTATTAAATTGGTTGCAGGGTCAAAGAAGAGAAGATTCTGAGCCTAAAAAGTTTTCTGGTGTCTTTGCTTTTAAATAGACAAAAGCAGTGGCAAATATCTGGTTTATGAGTACCTGTGCTCACATTCTAGTTTACTGCTGATGAACAAAACCTGTTGCCCTATTCCATACATTCTGTAACAGGTTTTCCATCTTTCTAACTGAATCACAGAAACAGATGGTTCTTGTTTTTCCTTTAATTAGCAGTCCTCCGTGGCAAAGTCAATTATTGTCAACACTGAAAGTAAATCTTTGTGTTTATGATAAACTCGAGCAACGCAATATTCCCTGGATGTGAAGCTTCTAGAAAAAGAAACTTCTGTGGCTTCAGCAATCCAAATGAATCGTCTGTCTAGCTAGCACATTTTAAAAAAAATAAAAATATAAGCAGGGGGGAGGACAAAAAATAAAAACTTTGCTCCTTGTTAACAAAGGGAGAAATTAATCCCTGCTAAAGGAGGAGGAGAGAGATGCAAGTCACCTGACTGGAGGCTGCTGATTGAGTAGCCCTTTTATTGCCAGCATAAAGGATGAAGATTAAGTAGTCATCTTCAGAGAGACTATACCTAGAATTACTTAAAAAGTCATTCATGTCAATATGAGGTCCAAATTGCCTTCTGGAACTGTTTAACTCTCTCTATTGTATATACAGTACTGTAAAGATGGAATAATGTAGGACATTTATAATACACAGTGTGATTTCTGTGATTTATTTTTTTAATGCATAGGTTGATTCCAAGTTTTTTCAGGAACTTTTATTTCTGTTCATCATAAGACCAAAACCAGGGAAATAGGTTTAGAGACAAAAAGAATAGGCATATTATACATCTAGGCATTTAAATTTTAATACCAGCTAACATTACCAAAAATAACACATCTTTCTTCAAATTCAATATAATTGAGAGCTTAAGCAGAGGAAAAGATTATGAATTCTAATCTTGCCTTGGTGTGAAAGCTTCTTTTCTTTGGCTGAAGCAGAGGGATTGTTCAGCATTACTTTTTACTTGCTGTTTTCATGATGCTGATACACAGTGATCCCAAAACCAGATCTGAATTATCTCCCAGGGTGCATAGTAATGCTTAGCAAGGGAACTCCTGCTAGGTACTACCCACTCAAAAAAAAACTTAGAGAAGATGAGAGGGAAAACAGGAACATGAAGGAATGAACACATGGGATAGGCTGTCTGGCAAGTCACTGGCCCATGGACAATGAAATCCTGATCCTAGTTCAGTAAACTCTGACAGTGTGGTGGTTCAGGTACAGATGGAGGGAACAGGGGTTTGGGGTGGAAGGGAAGGACAGAGTTACATATCAATAGAGGAAGTGTGTCTAGTGTGAGAGGGAATAGATGTGGGTCTCCTCTGACTGGGTATGAATGTCTGCATCATAGTCTCCACTCCGAATCCCTGGAGAGTTGTCTTCTCCTAGAGACTACATTTGATGACATGAATTAGGCCTTAAAGTCCTTGGCTTGTATTGAATAAACACAGTTCTTGATGATGAGTGAATACTAGAGCCACCAGCTCAGATGTAGGTCCCAAGGTAGGTAGATTGGGTTCTCCTCTGGGAGCTGGATGTGCCAACACTTGGAACATCTCCTGACCACGTGCAGTTCTGTAGGAGGTTGACTGCCTGCTTTGCTGATTGGGTACATCCTTTACGTGTAGCCAGAAATATTTGTGCAGGTTTATCCATCGGTATTTTTTCTGACTAAGGAAATTTGATTTATGAAGCAAAGGGAGCAGAAAACTTCTGCTGCCCTCCTAAATCATGGTGTGAGATGTGGGGGAGGGTAGATTCAGTGTGCTGGTTTGTGTGTGCTTCAGGCTTGCAGACAGACACGCTGAGCAGAGTAGAAGCTATTTGGTACAGGCTGGAAAGCCTTTTAAGTGTCTGCTTGATCAGAGAGAGGCTGCTAGATTTGGGCAAGAACAGGTGGTATTTCATTTCTGGTCACTTTGATACTGGAAATGTAACAGATTTAATGTCATCATAGCTGTTGAGTCTGTTTTGTGAAGCTCTTATTGGGAACTCTGATAAATGAAATGGATGGATAGTCTTCTACCAGGACAGAGCATGAGTGTTTGGGGTAAAATCCTGGCTGCTAGCTACTGTCTTGTTACTGGATTTCTAAATTTTTGCCCTCCCACCCCCTTCCCACCCCACTGAACTCGGTTTCTGTTTGCCTTACTGAGGAACTTCAGGGAATTCTGCTCTCCACACAGCTCTGAGCTTCCTGGAGCAGTTCAGCAGAAGGATGTGAGCTGCAGGCTATGGGATTTCTAAAGGGCTTGAGAGAATGCTGCAGTCCATGCCCAAGCACTAATGCTTTCTGTGAAGGAATTAATTGTGCAGATAGATGTGATACAGGAAGGGGTTGTTTTGATTTTTGTTTTGCATTATCAACATCAAGGGACTGTTACTTAAATTCTGGTAACTGTTATTGTCAATGGCTCTGTACCAAACTAGACCTCTGGGAATTGAGTGGGAGAGGAAGAGGAAAGGGGGGAAAAGGCAGCTTTCTCCTTTAATATTCCAGTGAATTGGTAAATCATATCTGCTTTTAATATTGTATGACAGCAAGCTAACAGGTGGTAGTAAATACAAGTTCATCACTTTAGGCATGTATTTACTCTTATGTTTTCAAAGTGGTTTGTGGTCTATCTGATTAGTTATGGAGCATATCTGTATGTATGTTTATGTTTTTTGAACTCTCCCTATGGGATATAAAGCCAGGTGGAAGATAAGCAATGAGCATCACAAAAATTAAGTGATGTGCTGGAGGCTGTAGAGGTTGTCAGTGTCTCTACTGAGATTAGAATTTGAGCTACTGTCTCTTTGTCAGACTTCAGTCTCTTAAAGCATGCAGTGTCCTTAAAGAGCTCAAAAAAAAAGTGTAAATTTGCTTTGTATTATTATGAGAAAAATAAGAAATTATTAATAAAAATTACCACTCAGTCTTCCTAATTTTGTCATTACCTTTGTAAGTAGGTACTTACTGGTTCTGAATGAGACCACCCTTAATTGCAATAATTTAATTATGGTCCTAAACCCTTGATTCAGTGAAGTACTCCTAAGTGTAAGTGTTTTGCTAGATCAAGGTCTGCATTCATTTCAGGCATTAATGACCACTTCTTATTTAAATAACTCCTTCTTTGCTAACTCTCTTCCCAATCATTTGGCTATATTATCCTAGAAGTCACAGGCTTTACTAAATTATAAAAGAATTAGAAATATTTTGGTTTTTTTTCTGCAAACATTTATTTGTGATAGTAGCAGGAGATGCAGAAAAAAAATCTAGCAATAGCTTTTCACTACCAGATTATACAAGCATCTTGTATTATTGAAATTGCTCTTGTACATGTACAGGGTGACAATGGTTCAGTGCTATGGCTTGGGTACATCTTTTTGCTATTTTCTACAGATTCTGCATCAGTTTCAGACATTTCACTTAATGCTTCATCTATTTTCCCTTTTGTTATTTAAATTCTAAGACAAAATATATTGATAGTCCTAAAAAAAAAAAAAACAACCCAATCAATAAAAAGTTCAATTGTGAGCAACAACTAGCTGCACCTGGCCTACCAATGTACTTAATCTTTGTTCCATGGCAGAATTTAACTTTGAAAAAGCCAGCCAATAACATCGACCATTAAAAACAAATAATGCAACTTGTTACCTCGACAAATCCTTATTACTTTTATAATAATACAAAGTAATAAATTTATAGTCAAAACTGCTTTCCATACTCTTTGGTAAATGCAGTTATACAGGAATTAATTAATTATTTGGATATGTGAAAATAATTTTAATCATTTGCTGTGATAGATTCAAAGATAAACAGAACTGTGTGAAATTATTTTTGCATCATACTGACTGAATGTGGTATATATTTATGCCATTCCTCCCTCTAGGGTAAAACTGATGCCACAGTATGTGTTTTCCTCCCTATTAGCAGAAGTTAATTACATACCATGGTAAACCTACTTCCCAGAGTTTTAAACTATTTATTTCTGCCATGAAGACAGTGAGAATCTGCATTCCATACAGAGAAAGAGATGAAATGATTAAAGAAAAACAAAGTGGAAAAAAAAAAACCCACACAGAAAACCATTAAAGACCTAACCTGACAGAACTTGTGTAAACATTAAAATTGTTGTCTGGGCCTGAAATAATTGATTACATATTTTAAATTTGGGTTAACCTCTTACAGTTTTTGTGCTTGCACATGTGTGAAGATGCAAGTTTCAAGTTTTCCAATACAATTCTTTTTCTCTACTGCTGGTGGTCAGGCTCAAGCCAAATCCACCCATTTCTCACATGTACATCCACTTCCCCCATGGTTTCCATCTGTATGTATTAAAATTACCAACAGCAGAACTCAGATGACTTTGCATGTTTGAAAGATTAGTCCATTTAATAGATTTTAAAGCACTGTTCATTATGTTCAAAGTACCATAAAACTCCTATTTTCATTGCAGGAAAGCTTTTCAAAAAAAAAAAGCAACATAATTTTACTTAAACTTTATTTATACATTCATTTATTTAGCACAAAAAAGAATGCTCTTATCTATCTTTCTGCTTTTGCACTGCCCTGTAAGGGTAAATAAAACTTCTGCAGCACAATGCTGAAAGGAGATGATAACAGAAAATTGAGGACAGTTTCCTTACAGGCCTGTCATATCAACTTCCCTGAGAGAACATGCAATTCCTCTGGCTTTCAGACAGGATCTTCACCCT